AACACCCCTCTGTCGCAGAGAGAACACCCCTCTGTCACAGAGAGAACAACCCTCTGTCACACAGAGAGAACACCCCTCTGTCACACAGAGAGAACACCCCTCTGTCACACAGAGAGAACACCCCTCTGTCACACAGAGAGAACACCCCTCTGTCACACAGAGAGAACACCCCTCTGTCACAGAGAGAACACCCATATTCCACTGAGTCACTGTGTCTTGAGTCCAACACAAACTGAACCACATCACACACATTAGTTTATGTAAATGAGTCATGTGATTTTAAGTTTAGTTTCTGTCAAACGTAAACAGATGTGCTCAGATTTGTGTGGATAGAGAAAACTCGTGGACACAGAAACGACAAGTCTGGATGCGACGTTTCTGATACGGTGATTCGTTTCAGTGTAAACGTAACCTTAGTTCAGGAGAGATCGGCAACTCCAGAACTGAAAAAATCATCCAGATAATTCTAGTGAAAGTGTGTGAAGTTTAAAACCACATTGGAGCATTACCACGTGACATCACAAGGTGGAACAGAGTGTTTTCCTGTCCTTTTGAAAGCAGAACTCTGCATCTTAAATGTGCAGGGTTTGTGTGTTAAACATGTGTGAATGAATGAAACACACACACACACACAAACCCCACACAACTCCAGGTCGGTCTGTGACGAGGAAACGACTTCAGAACATCGATACGAGTCTTTAAAAACAAAACAGTGACATTCCCCTGGAGACGAGCGGGTGGTGGACCCTTCACACCACGGCAGGTCCACAGATGAACGATCGTAGTTGTAAACGGTGGTTGTGACTCTCAGTTTGTAAGTCTGAACACACAGACACACACACACACACACTCCACACTGCGTACTTTGTTTACTTATCCAAATGAGCCATGTGCTGCAGGAGCCTCCATCAGACCTGCAGAACCTGAACACCACCAAAACAACGTCACAACAGGTCACATCTGATACAGCAACAACACAAATACACACACAAACGCACACACACACACACACACACACACACAGGTTTAGACTTAGACTTTTACTGAAATTGAAACACAAGGGAAATGATCTGGACTTGTACTTGAATATTTCTAGTGTTGTCAGAAATATTGTGTTATTAAGAATTTAAGGCAAAACAATTTTACTGCGTTCATTTTTATTTTAATACCGAACTGTTTTTTCATAAGCTGTGTCCACTGCTGTAACGTTAGAAAAACTCCTAAAACAATTTGTACGAAACTGAGAAGCCCTGTGTGTGCGCTGATGTCACTCGTACGAGGAAAACACGAAATAAAGTCGCTCCAAAACATACGACGAATCTGCGCTGACCTTCGATAAAGACCGAGACAGAGACAGAAGTTTTTCAGATTCTCTTTGGGCTGTTTTTATCGCCGTAAACTCTCGGAGGAGAGTATCGCAGCAGGACTCACGTCTCGTCATCACGTCTCACTGGTTCACAGATGTTTGTGCCGCTGGACTTATTTTCTCCGCTAAATCGTTGCCTCTGCTCCACATGTAAACAAACAGTGATGACGTCGTCGGCCTCGTACAGCAGCGTCAGGACAAACGCGTCGTAAACTCAAATGCAATAAAAAAGTTGATAAGAGAGTTAAAATTATGTTTCAAGGGACAAAAATGTGCAATTAATTTGTGATTAATCAAGAGTTAACTGTGACATTCATCAGATTAATCGCGATAAAATATTTTAGTCGATTGACAGAACAAATTATTTCACTTACTGCATTTGAACTAAACACTAACACTTATTGTACGTCTTTGTGTGTGTGTAGTGTGTGTGTGTGTAGTGTGTGTAGTGTGTGTGTGTGTGTAACATGTGCAGGTTTGGTTAGTTTATTTATCATTTGTAATTAAAAACATTGTAAAGGCGCTCAAAGTGCACCACAGGTGTGGTGCACATGTGTGTGCAGGGGACATGTACAGTGTGTGTGCGGGGGACATGTTCAGTGGGTAATCAGATGTGTGCAGGGGACATGTTCAATGGGTAAACGCTTGTGTGCAGAGGGCATGTGCAATGTGTAAATGTGTGTGTGCAGAGGACATGTTCAGTGGGTAAAGATGTGTGCGGGGGACATGTGCAGTGGGTAAAGCCGTAGCAGCCAGGCCTCCATCGCGCTCCTCTGCTTCCTCCGTTTCTTCTGCTTCCTCTGCTCCCTCTGTTTCCTCCTTCTGCTTCCTCTTCTTCCTCCTCTTCCTCTGCTTCTTCTGTTTCCTTTTCTTCCTCTTCTTCCTCCTCTTCCTCTGCTTCTTCTGCTTCCTCTTCTTCCTCCTCTTGCTCCTCTTCGTCTTCTTCCTCTGCTCCCTCTGTTTCCTCCTTCTGCTTCCTCTTCTTCCTCCTCTTCCTCTGCTTCCTCTGTTTCCTCTTCTTGCTCCTCTTCCTCCTCTTCCTCTGCTTCGGCTCGTCATATGGCCGAGCCCGCGTGGTGTTTTTATCTCTCTGGCACCGCCAAGTGCTGAGACAGAGAAGGGTCTGTGGAGTGGAGAGCCCCGCTCGTTTGCTGACAGCACCCTGCAGTAGCAGCATGGTAATTCTGCTCTATCTTTCTTCTGCATCATGTTTACCTAGCAACAAGCATCATCCGCAACCGGCTATCCCATTGGTCATTTGAAAACGCACCGGGGACCAATGGCAGCGCTGTTACTATGGTGCGGCGTGTAGTTGCCGGGTGGAATTTTGCTGCAAGGCACGTGAGACTCCGGGTTTGCTTTCCTCCTCACTCCGGCTTTGTAATCTCCATTGTCTGGTGTTAGCACAGCTCCACGCGCCGCACACTGCACGATCTGGATATGTTTACATGAATATTCTCTCATGTGTTCATCCCGCTCCAAATGTGACAAACAACAGCTGCGGATGAAAACGAATACGGATCCAGTGTGTCCCGATCAGTGTGATTAGTCCGTGTCACACACGCGCTGTACGCGGACGCACCACAACACCTCAAATAATAATAATAATAATATTAATAATATGAATAATAATAATCATAATAATAATGATAATAATGTCATTTTATCGTTTTGGGAGCGCGGTTTGTGTCCAAATGAATGAAGCTTCTATTTTTGGTGCACTGATTAAACCCTGTAACATCTGAAGTCCGTGTGTGTGTGCGTGCGTGCGTGCTGCGGCCACTGGTCCCGGAGCAGGTCATGTGTCTGTGCGTGCACGTGTGTGTGTATGTATATGTGTGTGACTACGTATATATGTGTGTCTCTGTGCCTGATTCTATGTGTGTATATATGTGTGTGTGTGTGTATATATATATGTGTGTGTATGCATATGTGTGTCTCTGTGTGTATGTGTATGCTTCTGTATGTATGTATGCGTGTATGTATATGTATGTATGTGTATATATGTGTCTATGTGTGTACATATGTGTGTGTGTACATATGTGTGTGTGTATATATGTGTATATGTGTTGTATATAAATGTTTATATGTGTATATATATATATATATATGCATGTGTATGTATGTGTCTGTATGTGTGTGTATATATATATGTACATGTGTATATATATGTGTATGTATGTGCATGTTGCAGTAGATTCTGAATTCGTGGTTGACCCCTATTCTGTTCATTGTTGTATATATGTGTATATATATAAATATATATATATATATTTGTGTGTGTGTGTGTGTGTGTATATATATATATATATATATATATATATACACATATATATGCATGTGCATGTTGCAGTAGATTCTGAATTTGTGGCTGACCCTATTCTGTTCGGTGTTGTATATATGTGTTTATATGTATGTGTGTATGTGTATATGTGTGTATGTATATATGTGTGTATGTATATGTGTGTGTATATATGTGTGTATGTATACATATGTGTGTATGTATACATATGTGTGTGTGTGTGTCGCAGTAGATCAGGGACGTGGCTGACCCCTATTCTGTTCGGTGTTGTATTACAGTCACTACTTTTAACTAAAGGAGCTGTGAGAGGAGCGCACTTTTGACGCGTTCGGCTGTTCCCAGGCAGCATTGTGCCTGATTTAGCCGGGATGCTTGGATAGCAACAGCAACAACTTTTAGCCTTGAAAGGTTTGTGAGGGGAAGTGGCACATCTGAGCTGTGAGCATGTGGACCCCCCTCCTGCGCGTCTCCACCCCCGGCCCGTCTGCCTCCCCCCGCACTCTTTTTTACCTGACATCTTCAAACTATTTCCGCGTCATTCCTCCTCGCGCCGTTGGAGGAGACGCCGGGAAACTAAGCCCGCGGCCCCGCCCACCGACCCGCTCGCGAGCCAATGGGGGCGCGGCGCACGGCTTTACGCGGCCAATCGCTGCGCGGCTGCCGTGGCGTCGGGTAGCAACAGAGAGGCGCGTGCTGACGGACCCGGGCGCTTTTCTCCAGTAACACAAGTTTGAGTGTTGATCTGAAGACTCACGCCAACTGGAGCTGCGTCATATTCAGCCTCATTTATTCTGCTCGACTCAGACACAGAAGCAAGAAGCAAGAAGCGCGAACGGAGCCGCTTTTACACCAATGTTACACCGAGCACCACGAGCCCACGGACCAGAACACACAACCACACCACGACACACACCAGAACTCTGTGTGTGTGTGTGTGCGTGTGTGTGTGTGTGTGTGCGTGTGTGTGTGTGTGTGTGCGTGTGTGTGTGTGTGTGTGTGTGGAGCTGGTCTTTCACACTCTTGTCATAATGTGTTTGTAATGAGACACATAAAGAGGATCTGAGTGAATCCTCTGCATATGCACAGCTCCATCTAAAGTTCCAGTATATATATCCTGCTGTTACTATAAATGGAGAGGAGCGGAGAGGTCTGCGTGGAGCGGCAGCAGCTGCGCGCGGAGGGGGGGGTGACACGCGGCTCCGTGGGCTTAAATCTTAAATCATGACTCGTTCGAGGAGCCGGAGCGCGCTTCGTGTTTTAATCGTGGTTAAAAGTGCAAAAGGTGTGTTTACTGCGCGCGGTGTTTGTGTGGCGGCGACGCGCGCAGCCCGGTGACGCGCGCGCCCCCCCCGCTCGCGGACTTGGTACGGTCCTCTGGGTGGGGAGCCGTGCGGGAGCCGTGCGGGAGCCGTTTGGGAGCGCGGCGGCGATTTCGTTTAGAGACGAGTCCGAAAAGGGAACGCGACAAAAACATGATTTCGTCACGTCACTGGAGAAAGTTTGATCCCGAGTGGAAAGGCGAATATTTGGATTAAGTTGTGAAGCAGAAACGCGGTGATTCCACGCGCGTGCGGCGGAAGGAGAGGGACGTCAGGTCGGACACAGCCGGCGTCTCCCGTCAAGCTCAGGATCGAGTCCGGATTGTTGAGTGTTTCCTCCCCGTGGGTCGGAATACGAGCCCCGCTTCGCCCCGTGTCGCTTTTATCCGGGACTAGTTTGAGAGAGGAGCCCACGGTGAGTCCTGCGTGACCGATCCGAGCGCGGGGGACTCCGGAGGATGCAGTTTGGAGTGAGCGGAGGAGTTCTCTGTCCCTGCGCTTAAAGCTTTGGATTTACGCGCTGTTTTGTTGTGGAACAGAAAGCCCGAGCTGCCCCCGCGCAGCCACTGTGGATCTATCTGAAGGAATACTGCGTGAAACTCTGTGTGACGCGGAGCATCGGGACAGTTCACTCTCAGCTCGTGTGGAAATTCTCTTTTTTAATCATGTGGGAGTGCGCTTTTACCCGAGCTGTTTGGAGGAAGAGGAGAGATTGATAAAAGCAGAGCGGAGCTGAGCATGAATCAGTGCGTGTAGTGATTGAAGTCGAACCCCGCGGTACTGCGGCCAGTGCACTGCTCCCCACAAAGTATCAGTAATTGGAACTATTTTTAGTGAGAGGCATGGGGTAAAGGCAGGCAGATGGAACCCTATCTCCCGTTTACTTCCTCTGTTCTGCCCCTTCCATCACTCCTGGCTCTGCCCAATAGGACGCATGCAGGCTGAGGCTGGCTCCCCCTCACCTCCGGGAGGGTCGTGGAAACCAACATTAACCCACAGTCTTAGAGCAACATAAGCTATTTGAGTAACTTGAAATGTTTGAAGTTGTTTTGAAGTTATTTTAAGATTCTAAAAACCGTATAAAATGTGACTACAAAGTAGTCTGCTTTGATAGAGTTTGTAGGAGACGCTTTACACTACCTAGAACACACCAGCAGCGTGAGGTGAGCACACGACCTCAGCAACAGAACGAGGCATCAGAGATGAGACACGATGCCCGGGTCGTACCAAATCTTCTTTTACCCCCCACACCCACAGAGAGCCCCCGTATTTATGTAGTATGAGAGAAGTGTATATGTATGTAGTGCGCCACAGAGTTTACATCCTTTATATTTTTACATCAGAGACTCCAGCTGCCTGTTCACCAGCCTTTGCCTTAGAAACAGTAACGACAAGCTACGAGCCGGAGTAGATGGTGCCTTCGCTAAATAAGTTGAGTTGGATGTACATTTTTGAACTCTGGGAAGAAACAGCTGATGAGGGTTACGTAACACTCTCCAAGCTCTGAGCACAGGACTTTTGTGTTTCCCAACTGGATTGATCAGTTGCCAAGCGTTTCCATGGTGATCACATCATCTGTGGAAGACAAGACTGTGCCCCCCTGCAGGATGGTCCAACCGGACCCTTGGATGACCTCTGGCCTTCTCCGGAAGAACAAGAGTTAGTACCACACTCACACTGACCGCTGTGGGCCTGTTCACATGTCCACTCCGGGCCTGTTCACATGTCCACTCCGGGCCTGTTCACATGTCCGCTCTGGGCCTATCCACATGTCTCTATGTTTAACTCAGGGCCAGGACCCGAGACCCGAGACCTGAGCCCCCAGTGCAACCTTTAACGGGTGCTTGTAATTACGTGACCTACTTGTGCTGACATACCTCTGTCTATAAATAGATTATTATAATACACAGTCGTCTAATTTTAAAACTTTATCTTGAAATCGTCTCGTAACCTCAGTGCCCCACAGCTCGGGCTTCGGGAGTCGCTGCTTCGTACTTTCAGCCGGATTTGGTCAATTATAAATCAAATTTCAAATCACTGATTGAGCCTCGTCCTTCAGAGAAAGTTCAGTTTGTGTTTCGTGGTTCTGTTGTTTGTGTTTTTCGTGGTTTTGTAGTTCTTCTCTTAAACATTATTAGAGCGTTTATAATGTTACATGGGATTATTTTATATTCAAACATCACATTAGGAGTGGATCTGTGGATCAGGAGGCGGTGTGTTCTGTTTTCTGTTTTCTGTGCTCTGTGGCTCCTTCACATCTGCAGTGTTCTTTTAGTGTTTACTCCAGAAAGTGTCATTTGTGTGTCGGCCAATCAGAGGCCAGAGCTGTGAGACTGAGCTCCTGTTTCAGATGAGCTCTTGAGGTGTTCAGAGGTGTTCAGATGAAGATTGACAGAAGTATCAGTAACCTCGGTTAGTTACACCGTAGTAAACTTTTCTTTTTTTCCTGTGGACGCCGGTGGAGCGAGGGCTGACAGCGACTGTAGTTTCTGTGGTTAACGCTTAATAAAAGTAAATGACGGAGAAGGACAAACCACGCGGAGCTTCAAATCGTTCCGGATGCGTTCGCGCCCGAAATTAGGTCAGTGCGACTAAACAAAACAAACCTGGAGCACAATGACAGAAAATAATTTCCATTGTGCGCTTCTCTCAGCGACACTAGAGCCTTTTAAAGCGACGTTCCCACTCCGAGCGCAGGCAGACGGAGACCAAACCAAAACCCAAAACCCACCGAAAGACCCATGTCCTCGTGACCTTTGACCTACATCATGTGCCACAAAATTTATTAACGAAGCTGCACAGTTCATGTGATTGTGGAAGTCGCTGGAGTCGTCGTCTTTCAGGTTGTGTTGATTTTGTGCGGGGTTTTCTACAGGAACTATAAAATGTTTTAAAGCCTCCAGAGAATCGGTGCAGTGACGTGAACGTTTAACACAAATAACTCCACTTAACTTCGTGTTTCAGCTTAGAAACTTTTCCCGTATTCTCGTTTCCCACAAAGGAAGGTTTAGGTTTAGGTTTAGGCGCGAAAGTGGGCGAGGCCAAATAAGGTCACAGCTCTTCGTCACTAAAACGTGAGCGAGTCCAAATAAATAAAGAGACAGGTGAGAATCTGCTGCATTTGACTCCACAATTTTCCAACTCTGAAGTCGTCAAACCAGATTCTTTTGTCATTTTTGATCAATATTCTGACTTAAATGTCCAAAATACGACAAATAATCCACAGGTGTCAGATTAGAACTATAGAAGACAGTAACACCTGTGTATTCTGAATGACATTTTGCTGAGTGATCACATCGTAAAAGTGACACTTTGCAGAAACATGAAGCTAACTGAAGCACTGCTCTGTCTGAAGTTTACTTTACTCAGAGCTTTAATTTAACAAAAAGAACGGACCGACCTGAGCTGGAATCGCGACAACCAACAAAACCAAACTCCTGATCTGAAAACGTGCTCTTTAAATCGCTTTTCTCCCGAGTCATGAAAGTTTTTCCTGTCGGTGTTTGCAAACGTTCGCGTCGCGTCGCCACGGTAACGGCTGAACGTTCCGCCAACAGAGAAGCAGGAGACGTAGAACACCCCCAGTTTGATGTTTTATAGGAGTAACCGACAGACACTGGGCACTATTTTTGTCCGGAGCGATGAGGAGGAGGGAGAGCGGCGTGGAAACAGCAGCTCGGGACCAACAGTTTAGGCCAAAAGGAGTAAAAAAAATATAAATACAGTCGTAGAATCTCGTTAATTTTACTTCAAACTTTCTGAATAAGTGAAAATCGGGCTGTTTGAATCGACACTTTTTGTAGTAACGTAAACATTTTCTTAAGCACACGTGTTCCCTTTTATACTTCAGTGTTTCTGTCAGTTCTCAGTTGAAATTCGAGTCCTAAAAGCTGCACCGTGTAACTTTTTCTGCTTGTTTCTATGGAGATGTTAGTGCTTTGTTTAGAATGTTCCACAGTGTTACATTAAACAGCTCGACTTTTTACGTTTATTCAATCACAGGTGACTCAAAAATACCTCGAAAAAAACAGACGTTCTGACTGTGAGCGGGGTCGCCTCTCCACAGATCTGACCTGGAACTGTGTCTGGTTTGGTCTCAGTGAACACAGAAAGGTTTAATGCTGTACTGAGGGATATTTCAGCCAAAGTAACACAATAGAGAGAGTCAACAAACAGAAACTGTAAACAAGGGGTCGTTTTAGTGTTAGTTTCAGTTTCAGTTTTAGTTTCAATATTAGTCTCAGTTTTAGTTTCAGTATTAATTTCAGAGTAGTTTCAGTTTAAGTGTAATTTGAGTGTAGTTTCAGTGTTAGTTTCATTGTAGTTTAAGTTGAGTTTGTCTTAATTTCAGTGCACTTTCAGTGTAGTTTCAGTGTAGTTTTGGTGTAATTTTAGTGTAGTTTCAGTGTAGTTTTGGTGTAATTTTAGTGTAGTTTCATTGTAGTGTAGTTTTGTAGTTTCGGTGTAATTTCATTGTAGTTTCAGAGTCATTTTAGTGTAGTTTAAGTGTAGTTCCAGTATTAGTTTCAGTGTAGTTTCATTGTAGTTTCAGTGTTAGTTTTGGTGTAGTTTCAGTGTAGTTAGCTCCCCCTTCAGGCAGATATAAGGCAGCATCCACCAGCGTTTGACCAAAACTCAAACTTTTGTCCAGTCGCAGAATTTAAATTTTCTTTTTCTGTGGAGTAACGATGCTGTATCAGACGATGCTGCTGTTGAAATATCTAAATCGGCCTGAGAGTGAAGAGGGACCCGAACCCGGAGACTCAGTCCAGGACCCAGACTCCACTAAGACACGGCAACAAGTGTTCTGTCCCGAGCGAAGCATCTGTGACTGTGTACTGTCAGATATCGAAAGGAAATAATGCAGTGTTTAAAAAAATAAACACTGTGGTAATAATTAGGAGTGTAACAATATCCAAGTCTCTCGATACGATATTTTCACGATGTACATCTCACGGTATGATATTTATTGCGATATTTTGTGGAGGCTAAACAGATAAAACTGTGAATATTCTAACACTTTTAACTCTTAGTTCTTTGGATTAAGTCTTAAAAAAGTAGAACTGTTGTTTCTTCTTGTCGTCTGCACTGAAATGGAGCAAAGGATCATGGTCTATGTAGTTCTTTATCTTTTTTAACTATTGCTGCATCATAACTCTTCATTTAACCAAAAGGACGTGTGATTTGATAAATTGTGATGGTCCACGATATTATTGAGAGAACTTTGACAATGCAGTATCACAGTGTTTTGGTTATTTTACATCTCTAGTAATAATGTTTTTTTACAGTTCCATCATTGAAGTGTGAGAGTAGAAGTTCATCCCTTTGGTTCTGTGGCTCTGTGTGTTTTAAAAAAGTAAAAGAAACTAAAGAAACTGTGACTAAACAAAGTAATTTCATTTTATTTAAGTAGAATAACTTAAGGGACCTGGGCCAGAGTCTGAACTTGCACAAAGAGGCTTCAGAACCTCCAGAGCTCCTGCAGAGGCTGCACTAGCACTGACTCATGATGCTGCAGGTGTTGGGGTTTAGAGAGAAACCGTTCAGATCAGAGAGACACGTTTTAGATTTAAACTCACTGGATTTCAGCTTTGAACCTGCAACCCAAACGAGAGAGTCATGTGAGGCTCGTTCTGCGTTCTGATTGGATAAAGAACCAAAACATCGACTTAACCAAATGTTTTTGAATAAATCAGCCTTACGTTGTTATGAATGAAAACTGTATTTGTTTATCTCAGATCTTTAGACAAACGCCGAGCTGCATCGTGGAGCTTCGTTACATCTCATTTTCTTTGTCTTGATTTGATTTTTGATTTGATTTGTTTTTATTTCAAGTTTGTGCCAAGACAGAAAAATGATCAAATACAAACTACATAAACATTATAAACAACAAACACATTTCTCGAAAAGTGAGTGAGAAGAAGAAAAAAAAACTTATATTACCCCAAACCTGTTCATGACAGAATCCCAAAAATGTAAAACTGATGTGGCTGCTCCTGAACACTGATGACAAAACTTTACAAATTTCCCAATTTCTTTCTTTTTTTCTTGTATTGTGCAGTATTATGGTCGTACAAATTAATAATAATGATAAAGAAGGAACAGAAGTTTCTGGTTGGTCTAGACTCTAGCTGCAGGTCTGGACTCATTTATTTAGTTTAGTTTTAGTTTTTCGTCTGAAACACAAACATTTAAATCGTCAAAACAGTGAAAATGTCAAATGTGTCGCACAAACGAGTTTCCAGCAACAAAACTGTAGCTGCAACAAAATAATTTAGTAAAATAAACCAAAAAATATTCTTGGCAATATATCGATACAGCAGCCCAAGATATCAATACTGTATCACTTTAAACGATACGATATTTTGATATTTTTGTACACTTCTAATTTGAATGTTTCTAAATATTATAAAACATTTCTCTTTTCTGTAATTGACAAAATGTTTTTTACAGTAACCGGTACTATTACATCGATTACAGAGCAGAGTTTGATATCGACTGAACCGATATCAACTGAACCCGTCCAATCCATCAAACTTTTCGATATCAATGCCGATATCCAACACTAGTATCATATCAGTGCATCACAAACTTTATTAATGCAGAAGAGAAATGATTTGGACACAGGAGCTCACACATCACAATATAATATCATAATAAATATATAATGGGGCTGTGCAAAAATATCAAAATATTAATATATCGTGTCACTTAATCTGCTGATACAGTATTGATAACGTCGGATGCTGGATCGATAAATGATATAATTTACTTAATTATTTAGTTCCAGCTACAGTTTTGTTGCTGGAAACTCGTTTATGCGACACATTTGACATTTTTGCTGTTGAACTTTGCACAAGAAGTGATTTAACAAAGATTTTAAGTGTCAAAGCCACGATTTAGTCTTTATTTTTTATTGAATCGTATCATATCAAATCGAAAGCTCAATGTATCGAGATATTTAACGTATCATCAACTTCTTAACGATACTCAGCCTTAATAACAAAGAGTAAAAAAAATATTTAAAAAAGGTAATAAACTTAAATAAGTATCGATAAATTAAATAAATGTGCCGTGAGTAAAAGACAAATACGTCACATAAACCGAGTACATCACAGTTCGAGTCGGAGCCGCTCGCGCCGACATGAACATTCTGTCCCGTTCACTTTAAAAGCACAAAATAAAACATTAATCTGGACGTTTGCGGCGGCGCGGACACACGGACACACGGACGCGCAGACGTTTATGTTTTTATTACATAAGTACAAACGCTCGGTGTGGAACGTCCAGCTCGGCTGCTCCAGTCTGTGGAGCTGAGCTTTTATTGTCAAACTCTTGTGTTCTGGAGCTTTATCGTCCATCGTAATGTTTAGATTTTAGAAATGTTTATTGTGTAGTAGTATGAGAGTTAAATGTGCACAGAACAGAACAGAGCTGCACATACTGATGTTTTGTACGGAGGCTTCGGAGTGACTCTTGGGTGATGTTTGGAGACTTGCTCTGCTACTGAAAAAGCTCTGGAGCTAATGTTTAGATTGGACAAAGGTTTTAGAACGACGACGGAGATGGTTCTAACGGAAATGTCATGTTTTGTAGAACTATCTGCTAATGTTAAAATGAAACTGATGTTTTGTTTATGTTTTTATTAGTACAGAGCAGCTGCAGGGTCTTAAAAGTCTTACAAAGGTTTTAAATTTCATGGTCCTAAATTAAGGTCTTAAAAAGTCTTAAATTCTGTTGTCCAAGTCTTATTTTTTCACAAAGGTCTTAAATTTTATTAGTCTATTTTTTTGTAAACTCAGCCAGGATGTAGTGTGATGTTTAACTGAAGGAGGAATAAAAAAAAAACAACGTAATCACGTAACATAAATGAACGTCTAATTTGGAGTTTGCGCAAACAATACTTGGGTTTGTGGCGTCGGTGGAAATGAGTAAAACGATCAGTCGAGTTGAGGAAGTCGTTGGATGGATCTTGGGGAAGTGTCGGTTTAATCCACAGAGACTCTTAGATTCTAGATAAAGTTCCTGTAGATGTTTGGTCTTTATTAGAATTGGATCTGGTGTTTTTCGTCACATAATTGGTGCGATCTTGGTCTTAATTTTCATTTAAATGGTCTTAAAAAAGTCAAACCTGGGAAACCCTGTAGTAACTGTAACTGTAAATGTATTAAACTTCACGCTGGAACTGTTAGTGCTGTGTTTTTCTTTACTGTTTACAAGTCATTTATGTTTTATAATATTTCAAACATTTGTTGCTTATTTGAGAATATTTTATTGATCTTATTAGTACCATTATTACCAAGCAGCACTTTGCATTTATTTTATTTTCCCGTTTGTATGGACGTAACAATAACAGAAATATCATATCGTCAAAGTTCTCACAATAATATCGTGAACCATCACAATATATCGAATCACAAAATGAAGAGTTCTGGTGCAGCAACAGCTAAAATAACACAGAGGAACTACATAGACCATGATGCTTTGCTCCATTTCAGTGCAGACGACAAGAAGAAATAACAGTTCTGACACTTTTAAGTCTTGTCAAGGAATTTTAAGAGGAAAAAGTTGAACATTCACAGTTTTATCTGTTTAGTCTCCACAAAATATCACAATAAATACCGTTCCATGAGGTGTATATTGTGAAAATATCGTACAGAGAGACTTGGATATCGTTACATCTTTAATCATGAGCTTTTCCACGATATCGCAATAAATACCGTATCGTGAGACTTGAATATCGTTCCATCCCTGTCCGTTTGTATAATGTTAAAACAAATTATTGGTTTAATAAAAACACAAATGGTTTCACATTTTGTTCCCAAACTGAACCGAAAATGAACCAAATCGTGATTTTTGTGCCGTTACACCCCAAGTTTTTATTGTTGTTTTCTTGTTACTACATGGAAACCCGGAGTTATAAAACTACAGAAATCGCTTTGTCATGTCGTTATGTTGAGCTGTTAAAAACAAAGAACGACCCATGTGCGATTTTTCATGCCTGATACAGTTTGTTTAGAATCCAGAATTTGACGATATTTTTGTGCCGATATGTTGGACCGATTTACAAAATATTTCTCACATTAACTCATCCACAGACTTCTTTTACTCCAAACTGTGTAGAGTTCAGTGTCACATTTTGCAGAAACTCTTCAGACAAAGTCTCATACAGATGTTTTTTAGGCTGCTGGTTAAATATCGGCCTCAGCTGGAGATTTATGGCCGATACCTGGTACTCTAAAAAGGGTAAATATCGGTGTGTCTCTGTTTGTGTGATGTGGTCATGAGGACAGACTGACAGACTCTAAAACACGTGGAAATGACACTTCTGTTTGTGTAGAAGTGCGTCTGCTGGATCTAGTTTGTGCTTCTTTACTTTGATTTGCCGCACTTGGCCCAGTCAGGTTTGTGGAGATGCGAGCTCGCTCACAGTAAAGTCAGGACACCGTGTTCTGAGTTCTGTCTTGAGAGTTTTGAGCCGTGTTCTAATGTTGTTTCCTTGTCAAAAAACAGAGCTGGAGTTGTGTTTTGTTTCATCCACTCATGTTTCTGTTTACATCCTCAAACCTCCAAACGCTCTGCTCCACCTTGTGATGTCATGAAGTGGTAGTTTTGAAGTGAACAGCTCCTTTTCCCGTTAGTTCAGTCAAGATTGGTCAAGAAATTCCAGGACTGAACTGATCTAAATGATTCTAGTGAAGGTGTGTGGAAGTTTGTTTGCTTTTTCAGTTTGAGAGAAGAGCTCAGAGTAAATGTGCAGCGTTTGTGTTTTAAACGTGTGAATGAAACAAAAACAACAACACATCTCCAGGTTTGTGTTTGTGTTTGTGACGAGGAAACGACACTAGAACAAACCTCAGAACAGTGTCATGAAGAACCGTTTAAGTGTGACGTCACTTCCGGGTCCGTCAGCTGAATGAAAACAAAGAACATGTCACAGTTTCCTCTTTTTAACAGCGGCACTTCTCGTGTTAAAGAGACACGGCGGCTGTTTAAAGTTACACGGTCAGAAGTTCAGATCAGGAAGTGGAACGGTGTCTGAGTTCTTTTAGATTATTACGACTTTATCTCTATATTTAATACAGTTTGTGGTTCAAAACTTTAGGGCTGAATAACATTAAGAAGTTGCCGATACGATACATAAACTCGGTACAGTGCACTTCCGATTAAATACGATTCATTTCAAATCTTTTCGAAATGAAAAAATAAACTCTAAATTGTGGCTGTGACAGACTGCAGGGCCTAATCAGAGCAGCCTTAAAAGTCTTAAAAAGGTCTTAAATTTCATGTTCCTAAATTAAGGCCTGTAAAAGTCTTAAATTGCTTTGTCTAAGTCTTATTTTTTTCACAAAGGTCTTAAATTTCATGCTCTTTAATTAAGGTCTGTAAAAGTCTTAAATTCTGTTGTCCAGGTCTTATTTTTTTCACAAAAGTCTTAAATTTCTTTGGCCTATTTTTTTGTAAACTCAACCAGGCTACAGGGCAATTTTAAAGGAAGAAAAAAAAAAAAAAAAAAACGTGAAATCACATAACGGGATGATTAACGGGATTTGGAGTTTGCACAAACAATACTTAGTTTGTCTTGTTAGAATGTTTTAAATGAATTTTTGGCCGTTTTACAAGCGAAGCATCCGACTATAAACGAGTTCTGAATGAGATTTTGTATTTAGATTTTAGTATTTTTTGTTATTTAAAGCAAAGTGGGTAATGGCGATTATTAGATTAGATTATTATTAGATCTGGTGTTTTTCACCCGTGTATTTTTCATTTAATTGGTCTCAAAAAGGTCTTTAAAAAGTCTTAAATTTGGGGCAGTCAAACCTGGAGATACTCTGTTAATGCTCAACTCGGCTTTTTTTGCGAGGTCGTTCACATTTCCAGTTAAACGTGACTTGTGTGTGATCTCCAGTGTGAACTTTAAACGCCCCAAAAGTGTCTCACGTTTATAGAAGTCGCCTAAACTCTGAGCTCGTCTCTCTTAAAATCTGGTCCAGTTGTTGGTAAAATGTTGAGGTCACACGTCCACGGCCGCTTCGTTTGTTTGAGTCTTTATCCTCCTTGTGTTTTCTCGCAGGATCTTTATTTTTCGTTGACGTTGGAGCCAGGACCGGTTCCTATAAGACTCCTCCAATTTGTCCTGAACACAGCGATCCCCAAAAATATGAATGAACTCTCTAACCTCGCTTTCCAAACTCCATCGACGAGACTCTGAGTCTGACGTGTCGGTGGATGAATGTGACCTGACCGTTCAGACTGAAGTCACATGTCCAAAAAATCAGATCTGTTTGGGTTTTAGGAGCACAGATCCAAGTGTCCTTAAAAGTGTCATTAAAAGATCAGATACCGGAGCAAAGGGGCCAAAAAATCAGATTTGCGTCACTTCAGACTGAACGAAGTGACACTAAAAGTCTTTGTTAAATCGCTGCTTCTTGTGCAAAGTTCATATGAAACACAAACATTTTAATCCTCAAATCAGTGAAAATGTCAAATGTGTCGCATAAACGAGTTTCCAGGAACAAAACTATAGCGCTGTAACAAAATAATCGAGTAAAATAAACAAAAAAATACAGCAGCCCACGATATCGATGCTGTTTTGAAGTTCCGAACTGTAACTGTTTCTTGTTTGAGGAATAAAGACCAAAACCAAAGCTGTGAAGTTTCCAGTTTGGACCCGGAAGTCAAACCGTTACTTACTTCCTCGGGTCCGCATGTATGTCCGTGGCAGAATGTTCAGCAGTTACCGCGGCGACGCAAACGCAAACCTGATGAGAAGAGTTTTAATATCGTCTGTAAACTGCGGTCGGTGCGAGTGTCCGGGGTTCTGTTCGGGAGTTTGATTTTCGACAAAAAAAAAACGTGAGTCTAACTTGAGTCACGGAGCTTCTGACAGAGCAGTGCCTCCAGTTAGCGTCACCTTCAGTAGTTACTTAGATTTGCTGTAACGATCGGGTGCAGATTTGTGACCTGGTTTATGGTTCAGATGTTTGAAATTACGGGAACTGTCCACGTGAAACAAAAACTGACACAAAGTTCAGCGTCGTTTTTAAAATAATCGCTTTTCTGACTCAGTATTTGACTCGTTTTTATTGTGTTGTGTTCATTTTTACACTTGTTTTTCCAATTTTTTTTGTGTCATGTCGTGTTTTCTTTGAGCTGTTTGTCGCGGTCGTCAGGTGATTTCACGATAACATTTACTTATAATTATTTGCGATGTAACAATAACCGAA